TACTTTTACGATTCTGACACTACACGTTAATGATTTGTTTCAAAATTTTGTATACAGGTAGACAAGAGTGTGTTAATAGTGTTAGCCTTTTGCCGTCAGAAAGTATTTTGACCCACTTTTGAGATATGGTGTCCGAAAAGTAGGTCAAAATAAAAAGTTCTCCAAATTTAACGTATGAGTAATGAATTAAGGGTAGAATTTCCTCAGGAATCCGAATCTTTAAACCAAATTTCAATCCAACTTCTGATTAGATAGTTATATCGGTTTGAAGTCTCGAAAAGTCGATATGATGATATCTCCATGTTAAGCCAATGGAGTCGAAGATAAAAGAACTAGGTCAAATCTTGTATTTTCATCATTTTACCAATTTTCTCAGTCGTTCTTCAATATTTTTTCTCGGTCTTTTTTTCATCATGTTTCTTGGAAACAAAGCTAATTCCGTATGGCAAATCGTTTTTTGATTACACTTACCGATTTTGAAGAATGGCGTCCAGAAAGTAGGTCACAGGGAAAAAAAATTTTTTTGAAGTGAAAAATACGAAATGTAGACTGAGTTCAGCTTAATTTAATGAAAGCCTTTGAAAGAAGGGGACCTCAAAAGCCATCTTACTTCAGAATTTTGACACCAACATGCGTAGGTCAAAATCTAGGTCAAATCCAAAGGTTTTCCTTATTTTTGCGATTCTGACACTACACTTTAATTATATTCCTCAAAATTGTGTATACATGTAGCCAAGAGTGCGCTAATAGCGTTAGCCTTTTGCCGTCAGAAAGTATTTTGACCCACTTTTGAGATATGGTGTCCGAAAAGTAGATCAAAATAAAAAGTTCTCCAAATTAAATGTTTGAGTTATGATCAGGGGTAGAATTTTCTTGGAAATCCGAATCTGCAAACCAAATTTCGGTATGACTTCTGGTTCCGAAGTTATGGCGTGTCCGAAAAGTAGGTCAAAATAAAAATTCACCAAATTTAACATATGAGTTATGAATTAGGGGTAGGATTTTGTCAGGAATCCGAATCTTCAAATCAAATTTCGATCCCACTTTCAGTTCGGAAGTTATTGCGTTTTGAAATTTCGGAAAACTCGATCTGATGGTATCCTGATAGAAAGTCAAGAGTAGAGAAGAAAATATTGAAAAATTCATCCATCCTTCCTATCTGATCCTATCCTATCCTTCCTATCTATCCTTTCTTCGTATCTTTTCCTTCCTATCCTTCCTATTCTATCCTATCATCCTTTTTTTCCTATTCTATTCTATCCTATTCTTCTTTCTTATTCTATCCTATCGTTCCTTCCTATTCTATCCTACCCTACCTTCCTAATTTATCCATCCATCTTTTTCTGGATGACTCAGCTTATTCTGGATGACTCGGCTTATTCTTGATGACTCGGCTAAAAAGGTCTGAATCTGGAGTCTAAAATTGAACTCGTTCAATTTCCAAAGTCTAGTTATTAGACTCCAGATTGAAAATCTGGAGTCTATTGCTTTTGTCAGTATTCTTCTTCTTCTTTATTATTAGACTCCAGATGAAATCTGGAGTCTATTGTTTTCGTCAGTTTTCTTATTAGACTCCAGCTGTCAATCTGGAGTCTATTGTTTTTGCCAGTATTCTTCTTTATTATTAGACTCCTGATTGAAAATCTGGAGTCTATTGCTTTTGCCAGTTTTCTTATTCTTTATTATTATTATTATTTATTATTCTTTCCCAGTTTTCTCGATAACCATAAGGCTTCCAATAAAGATCATTATTCAGTCAATTTATGTCCAGTATCTAGTTCCTCGGAAATTGGGTCAAATTTTTATCTAGGTCAAAGGTCAAGAACTAGGTCAAATCTTACATTTTCAACATTCTGTCATTTATCTTCGTCGTTGTTTATCGTAACTCCTAAATCTTTTTTTCATCATGTAGCTTAGAAAAAGCCAAAGCAAAGATATGACATTAGATTTTTGATTACTCTTACCGATTTTTAAATATGGCGTCCAGAAAGTAGGTCACGACAAAAAATTCTCCAAATTCAACGTATGACACATGAACTAAGGGTAGAATTTTATCAGGATTCCGAATCTGAAAACGAAATTTCGATCTGACTTCCAGTTCGAAAGTTATGGCGTTTTGAAAACTCAAAAATCGCTAAATTTGGTGCCCATGTTAAGTCAATGGGAAAAAATATTTTTTTGAAGTGAAAAATACGGAATATAGACTGAGTTCAGCTTCATATAATCAAAGCCTTTAAAAGAAGGGGACCTCAAAAGCCATCTAGCTTCAAAATTTGGACACCGAAATGCCTAGGTCAAAATCTAGGTCAAATTCATAGGTTTTCCTTATTTTTTCGATTCTGACACTACACTTTAATTATATTCTTCGAAATTCTGTATACATGTAGCCAAGAATATGCTAATAGTGTTAGCCTTTTGCCGTCAGAAAGTATTTTGACCCACTTTTAAGATATGCTGTCCGAAAAGTAGGTCAAAATAAAAAGTTCTCCAAATTGAATATATGAGTTATGAATTAAGGGTCGAATTCTGTCAGAAATACGAATCTTCAAACAAAATTTCAATCCGACTTCCGGTTCGGAAGTTATGGCGTGTCCGAAAAGTAGGTCAAATTAAAAAATCTCCAAATTTAACGTATGAGTTATGAATTAGGGGTAGAATTTTGTCAGGAATCCGAATCTGAAAACCAAATTTCGATCCGACTTCTGGTTCGGAAGTGATAGCGTTTTGAAATTTCGAGAAAAATCGATCTGATGGTATCCTGATAGAAAGTCAAGAGTAGAGAAGAAAATATTGAAAAATTCATCCATCCTTCCTATCTCATCCTACCCTATCCTTCCTATCTATCCTTCCTTCATATCTTTTCCTTCCTATCCTATCCTATCCTTTCTTCCTATTCTATTCTATCCTATCCTTCTTTCTTATTCTATCCTATCGTTCTTTCCTATTCTATCCTATCCTACCTTCCTATTTTATTTATCCACCTCTTTCTAGATGACTCAGCTTATTCTGGATGACTCGGCTTATTCTGGATGACTCGGCTAAAAAAAGTCTAGATCTGGAGTCTGAAATTGAACTTCGTTCAATTTCCAAAATCTAGTTATTAGACTCCAGATGTCAATCTGGAGTCTATTGTTTTTGTCAGTATTCTTCTTCTTCTTCTTTTTATTCTTTATTATTCTTTCCCAGTTTTCTCGATAACCATAAGGCTTCCAATAAATATCATTATTCAGTCAATTTATGTCCAGTATCTAGTTCCTCGGAAATTGGGTCAAATTTTTATCTAGGTCAAAGGTCAAGAACTAGGTCAAATCTTACATTTTCAACATTCTGTCATTTATCTTCGTCGTTGTTTATCGCAACTCCTAAATTTTTT